TGAGACTCCAACTCAAAAAAAAAAAAAAAAAAGAATATGCATGTGCATATGTGTGGAGCATATGTGTGTTCAGGGAAGTACACACATTGACCTACAAGGCCATGCGGTAACCATAAGTGACTGCAGAACCCAGAACATACACTCAAGGAGTGGCAAACAGGCCGGGACGCACATACACAGGCAATTGCTGTACAGGCACAAGCATGCATGCACACATGAACACCCAGAGTCATGCCTCGCCTTACAGAACAGGCAGGTGTACCCACAGCCCTGAATGCACACAGCATGCGCAGCACACACAGCCATACCTGGTTGTAAAGGGCACAGATGTGCAGGGCTGTGTTCCCTGAGGCATTCTGGGCCCCCATGTTGGCGCCATAGAACAGCAGGTGCTCCAGGTGCTGCACATGCCCAAAGCGGCAGGCCTAGGGGAGGTGGGAGGTACTGCAGGGTCCCTGGAGAGAGGCTGGGTCCCCCAACCCTGCAGATACAGCCCAGGACCCCCACCCAGCACACAGAGCTGGGACCCCCACCCAGCACACAGGGGTCAGAACCCCCACCCAGCACACAGAGGCCAGGACCACCACCGAGCACCCAGAGCCCGGGACCACCACCCAGCACACAGAGGCCGAGACCCCCCGCCCAGCACACAGAGCCTGGGACCCCCACCCAGCACACTGAGTCCAGGACCCCCACCCAGCAAGCCCGGGACCTCAACCCAGCACACAGTGGCCAGAACTCCCACCAGCACACAGAGGCCAGGACCCCCACCCAGCACACAGAGGCCAGGGCCGCCGCCCAGCACACAGAGGCTGGGACTGCCACCCAGCAACCAGAGGCCGGGACCAACATCCAGCACACAGAGGTCGAGACCCCTCAACCCAGTACACAGAGCCCAGGACTCCCACCCAGCACACTGAGCCTGGGACCCCCACCCAACAGAGCCCGGGAGCTTAACCCAGCACACAGAGGCCGGGACCCCCACCCAACACAGAGAGCTGGGGTTCCCACCCAGCACAGAGGCAGGACATTCACCCAGCACACAGAGGCCAGGACCACCACCCATCACACAGAGCCAAAGACTGCTACCCAACACACAGAGGCCAAGAACCTCCCACTCAGCATACTGAGGCCAAGAACCCCCACCCAGCACACAGAGGCCAGAACCACCACCCAGCACACTGAGCCCGGGACCCCCACCTGGCACACAGAGGCCAGGACCGCCACCCAGCCTTAGTCTAGGACCCCCACCCAGCACACTGAGCCCAGGACCCCCATCCTGTACACAGAGCCTGGGACCCCCACCCTGCACACAGAGCCCAGGACCCCCACCCTGCACACAGAGGCTGAGACCCCCACCCAGCACATTGAGCCCAGGACCCCCACCCAGCACACAGAGCCCGGGACCCCCACCTCAGCTCCCTGCACACCTGGTGAATCTCCTGCCAGCCATTCTCATCGGTGGTTCCCAGTTGAGCATGGTCATGGAGAAGCAGCTCACAGCAGAGGGCATCCCCACCCCCCAGGGCGCTGTGGTACAGGGGTGTCAGACCTCGGCTGTCCTTGTAGTCAGGTGAAGCCCCCAGGTCCAGGAGAGTCTGAGGGCAAGGAGCCTCAGCATCCATGTCAGGCTCACCCCCCAGCCACACACCCTTCCATGACAGGTTCCTCCCTTACTGACCGTCAAGGCCGCCGCATTCCGTTGACGTGTGGCACAATGCACGGCAGTGAGCCCCTCGCGAGTGCGGAAGTCCAGGTGAGCACCACCATTCCTCAGCACCTTCAGCAGGTCCGTGGCATTGTCCAGCTGGGCCGCGAGGCTCAGAGGGCACTCTAGGTTCAGGGGACAGAGGGAGGTGAGGGTCTCAGCTGCCCGAAGACCATGACCCTCCCTGCTCCACTCCTCACCTCCTGAGTCAGGGTCGTGGAAATTGGGGTCCAGCCCCTTGTCCAGCATGCGGGCCACCTTATCTGTGCTGTGTAGCTGGACATAGTCCATGAACTTCTTCAGATTTGCCTAGAACACAGGCCATCCCAGTCAGCCTGGCACCATGACCACTATCATCTATCACACACTTTTCTCCTGCAAACCCCGGGCTACTTGTAGGATGTCCACCGCCCCGCCCCCTTCAGTCTGACCTGTCACCCGAAGGCATGATCATCACCCTCACCACTGCACCCCTATTGTGCCCTGACTCCAACTCGACTGGGCCCACACGTGGCACAAGGCCCTTCCCTGCATCCTGACACTCACACCCACCATGGTCTGAGTCCAGCCAGCCCCTCACCAAGGCTAGGTCACCCTAGCCATGTCCCAAATCAAGTCCCTACTCTACCTCAGTCACTGCCCAGCTCTGTCTCCCTGGTCCCGGTGCCCCAACCTGCCCAGGCAGGAACCAGCCCTGTGGCAGCCCTGAATCCCGCCCACTTCCAAGGTGGCCTGCTCCTTTTCTGGTCATCTTCCTCACCAGCTCACCCCTGGCAGACCCCCACCTGCGGAACCTCTCTCCACCCTGGGGACCCCTCCTGTGATCTGACTTCAACTGCTTTTTATTCATTCACCCAGTCACGCATTAGTTCATCCAGCAAAGCCTCACAGCCCTGGCCGACTCTACGGATGCTATGTGCACAAGGCAAGATCCTTGGCCAAAGGCCTGGGGGCTTCTAAAAACACTCAATGGCGCATCAAAAATAGGAGAGGATGCAACAGAGACCAGAGACCAGCGCCATGGGAAGTGACCTCTTCAGGCAGGCCAGGTCAATGAATCAGGAGGAAGTGCTTACAACCAAGGGCAGTGCGGAGAGGGAGGGCCGGCTGGAGCCAGGCAGGCAGGAACACAGGGCTGTGGTGAGAAATTTGGACTCAACCAAGAAACAGTCAGACTCACTGACGAGCCAAGACTCACTCATGGGAGAAGACTCAGGGTGACAGAGTCACATGAGGGCCAGTAGAGTGGAGTACCATTCCACAAAGGTCTCTGTGCAGCCACAGAACCATGGCTGGTCGCCACCTGTCCTGGGACCACAAAAAAGTCTGGCACAAAAACCTGAGGCTCCTAGGCCACAGACAGGGTCAGGAGAGCACAAGGTGACAGTGCTCATAACACTCTCCTAGGCTCCAGAGACTGTCAACGAAGTGTCCAGCAAGCAAATGCTCACTGGCCCATAGACCCTGGGGTAGGAACTCAGGAAGGCTGTCCATGGAGAGGGACTATGGCACCCACCATGGCCCCCCAACATTCAAAGAAGCACCTGAGGTCAGCCCACCTGGGGGTGGCAGCTGGGCACTGGGCCTGCAATCAACAGAGCTGGCTCAGCCCCAACTTCACTGGCTGCACAGTTGTAAGCAAGTGACAGCTTATCTGCCACTCAGTTTCCCCATCCATGAAGTGCGGTAATTACCATACCACCCGAGAGAGGATTAACAAGATGTATAATTACAGGTGTCCAGCCCTGGTGCGTTGTCCCCAACAGCATCACATCAGAGGCTTGTCCATTCTACACCCTCCCAACCCCACCAGTTCCTCACCGGGCATTCTATCCACCTAAGCCAAGGCTTACCAGGGAAGTCAGCAAGACTCTAACCTGACTGGAGCCCATCGCCAGACCACCATCCCCCAGCCACAGGGCCTGGAATCTGTGCCCAGATCTCCAGCGGGCCCCCACACCCACTGACAAGCAGGGAAAACAGAACACTGAGGGACTGTGGTCAGCCCAAGCTGCGGTGGATTCAGTGGCCACATGGAGGCAACCTCCGGAGTCCTCTCCGCATGACTATCTCTTTACCTTTGTGTGAAGCTTTGCAAACTGCTTATCGTCAATGAGGTTCTGGGCATAAACTCGTCGCTTGTATCGAAACTGCTCAAATAAAAAAAGAGGTGGAGAAAAGGTACCCACCCAGTTGAGTGAGTGAGCACACACATAACCCTTATGCTGCTCATGCCGGCCACTTCTCCCTTACTGCCTTCCTGCACAGACCTTCAGTATAGCGCAGCCAACATGCCCATCCTAGACACACACACACACACACACACACACACACACACACACTGCCACAGTGGGCAGAGCTGACCGTGGCCATGCACCCACCACACACTGGCACGACACAGTGCCACAGGAGTGGGTGCCTCACCTCCTGCAGCCTACAGTGCCCTGTTTCGTTCCTGTCCCAGGATTCCCCAGAAAACCCTACTCCTCCCCCAGACCTAATTTCAGGTATACCTTCTTAGACATCCCTCTTTCCTGTGCCACCACAAAGGCCAGGCCAACTTTGAGCTCCATCACCAAAATCATTTCAGTGCCCCCTGCAGTGTGCCCACCCCCACCCCTAACTCAAAGACCTTCCTGTCAGGACTGACCCAGTCTGTGTCCCCATGACTGGCAAGGCATTCAGTATCCCTTCACACCATGGCTGGGAGTGCAAAGGAGGGAGACTCCGGTTGACCTTCAGAGGCCTGCACTGCTGGGGAGAGGGACGGACTTGTACACAGGCAGTGCTACTTACACCACACATGCCTCTGGGCACTCACTCCTGCTCACACTCGTACCTGCAGAACAAGGCTCCGTGCTCCCATCACACATGTGCTCACGGCATACACTGTTCAAACTGTGCACACCACACATGCCAACCGCTTCATGCACTGTATACTGTGCACCCAGCTTACCACAAGCACTGCTCACACCACCTGCACTGCATCCCCTGCCCAGTATGCAGTGCTGTGCATGCCACTCACCATACATGCTGCTCACACTGCACACGCTGCCCACAGCACATGCTGCATGCACCATTCACTGCACATGCTCACTGCACATCACTGACACTTGCTGCACACACTGTGCCCGCTCACTGCACACACTAGTCTCTCACGGCACACTATGCACACACAGTGGATACTGTGCCCACTCGCTGCACACACGGTATGCTCTCACTGTACACGTTGTACACGTTGACTGCCCACACCATCCCTGTTCACCGCACATGACCACTGCACACTGTACATGCCCACTGTACACACTCTATATGTCACAGTACACTGCACACTGGCCCTCTCCCACACACACTGTATACCTCACCGCACACACTGGCCACACTTACTGCACATCCCTCACGGCACACACTGTACACCCCTTACGCTGAATGCACTAACTGCACACACTGAACACTACATACAGCTCTCACACACGCTGTATACTCGCACTGAACGCACAGACTGTACACTACACACACACTCCCCCACACACACTGTACACCCTCAAAATGAGTGCACACACTGTACACTGCACACAGCCCCCCACTCTGTACATCACTCACACTGAATGCACACACTGTACACTGCACTGGACGCACTGGCGGCCACCGCTCACCCTGCACACAGCGCCCCACACCGCACACGCTGCCCCCACCCTAACTGTTCCCGCCTGTGTCTCGCAGCCGTGCCCTTCACAGCCGCCGCGGAGCTCGGTGGTCCCCCCTGGGCGCTCCCCCCTCCTCCCGGCCCGCCCCGC